CCCCCCCCCCCCCCCCGGGCCCCGGGACCCCCGCTCACGTTGCTGATGTTCCTGTAGGCCTCTTTGGCCGCCCGGATCTCGTGGGCCTCCGGGTCCATGTTGATCTGGGCCTTGCTCTTCTCGTACAGCTCTTTGTACTTCAGCTGCAAAGGAAAGCCCCAGATTTAGTAATAATAACAATAACAACAACAATAATAATTATAATAATAATAATAACAATACTACTACTACTACTACTACTACTACTACTACTACTACTAATAATAATAATAATAATAATAATAATAATAATAATAATAATAATACAAGGTGCCTTTCAATTACACAAATACATAAAAAATGCATTAAAAGAAACGATAAAAATAAATAAAATCAATAAAATAGAGGCAAAGCCTCAGTTAGAAAAAGCTCTTAACCCTATAATGCCATATGATATTTTAAACACATATTTTCTGAACTGTTTTGCATCAATAAAACAAATATATAAATAAATAATAATGATAATAATAATAATAATGATTATAATAATAATAAATTTTGTTTGAAAGCATCTTTTAAGCGAGCTGATACATAAAAATGCATTAAAAGAAACAATAAAAATCAACAAAATCAATCAAATAGAGGCAATGGTAATAATCATAGGCCTCAGGTAGAAAAGGCTCTTAACCCTATAACGCCATATGTATCCTATTTGAAACACATATTTTCTGAACTGTTTTGCATCAATAATAATAACAATAATAATAATAATAATAATAATAATAATAATAATAATAATAATAATAATAATAATACATTTTATTTGAAGGCACCTTTCAAATAAACGGATACATAAAAATGCATAAAAAAAAACAATAAAAATCAACAAAATCAATAAAATAGAGGGAATGGTAATATCCATAGGCCTCAGGTAGAAAATGCTCTTAACCCTATAATACCATATGTATCATATTTAAAACATATTTTCTGAACTGTTTTGCATCAATAATAATAATGACAATAATATAATAATAATAATACATTTTATTTTAAGGCACCTTTCAAGTAAATGGATACCTAAACATGCATTAAAAGAAACAATAAAAATAAACAAAATCAATCAAATAGAGGCAATGGGAAAATCCATAGGCCTCAGGTAGAAAAGGCTCTAAACCCTATAATGCCATATGTATCACACGGTAATAAATAATGAATATTCAAAATATTTAATTTTATTTAATATTTTGGATGGATGGATTTTGTTAAAGCGGAAAAAAAACAAATAAAAAAATCTCAATTTTTTTCTTGGATCAGGCTTTAAAGGGTTAAACAGCTGCCTTTGGACCCTGTTGGTGGGACTCACGTTGCTGGTCAGCTCCTTGACCTTCTTCATGTGCTGCTGGTAGGGCGTGTCGTAGGGCAGTGTGTAGCCCTTCGCCTTGGTCTTGTTGTACTCCATCCTGTAGATGATCTGGGGAGAGAAATCCACGTTCCATACCGTTACCGAGCATCCCCGGTGAGGAAAGTTAAACGGCGGGAAGAGTAAAAACGCACGTCTGTGATCTTCTTGCTGCGCTTGTGGGCCTCGTACTCGGGCGTCTCCAGCACGGAGGTGAACTTGTCCTTGGCGCGTTCGTACTGCTCCCTGTACTTCCACTGAGGAGACGCAGACACCAGGAGTCAGCGGAGA